AATGAAAATTAGGTACTCATGCTTTACAGTTTATTTGTTGTATTCTGAATGACATTTGAACTCATTATTTTTATTATATGATATTCATAAACCATATTCAAAAAACGTAAGTGCATTAATGAATACATATGTGTAACCTATCTGTTATCAAAATAGAATATTATTCTACTACCTCACAAAAATCAGTCGTGCCTGTGGAAGACGGTGAAGGCTAACGTTAAAAGCCAGGTTAAGCACTTGGCAAGGCCATGCTCGAACGCTTGTTATCTCCAAGGCAGAGCAAGCTGGCAACTGGCGACAGCCTGAGCCCGGGGTGGGGGTTGGGGGGCGTTGTTGAGAAGGGAGTAGATGCCCGTAAGCTTCCACTGAAGACAACTGCCACCTTTGCAGAAGGCATTTTTATCATGCAGATAGCCTGGGAACGGAACAATCCGTGCCCACAGCGTTCCCCTTAGCCTGCAAAACTCCCTTGAGTTTTACTAACCAACTCCTACAAAATAAACGCGGAGACTGAGGTCATTGTCATTCTCTCTCCATCAGAGGACAATGTCCCACCCAGCCCCCGCTTTTCTCTAAATTGTCTTGTTCTTTCTCAATCTCCCGTCGCCCCCGACTCAGGGACCACCACCATGCGCGGGTCGCAGCAGTGCCTTTCCAGGACAATTCCAATAGGCCTCCTCCACATCACTCCTTTCCACAGTTCCAGTTTCAACTATAGATTAGATTGACTTGTTCTAGAATTTTTAGCAGTTTTATTAAGTTATAAATTATATACAATAAACTGCATATATTAAAGGACACACTTGAAAAATTTTGTAGTATGTATATTTTCATATAACTACCACTACATTCAACATAATGAATACATTTATCACCCCCAAAAGGTTTCTCAGGTTCCTTTGAATCTCTTGTCCATTCCTCCCAGGTAACGATTGAATGACATTCCTAACATCACTATACATTAGTTTACACAGCCTAGAATTTTACATAAATGGGGTAATCATACAGTGTGTGCTATTTTGCTCGTTTTTTTTCACTTGAAATAATTATTTAGAGATTCAGGCATGTTATAGCCTGTATCAATAGTTCATTCTTTTTACTTCTGAATGCTATTCCATGGTACTTATATACTACAGTTTGTTTATCTATTCAGCTGTTGGCAGACCAGAGTGTCAGCCTCAGAGGATGTTCCACTCCTTCCCCATAGAGGAGAAAACTCATGGAGCCCGAACCCTCCCTTAGCCCTGGGAGACTCCAGGCGCGGGTGGCTGTAAGTGACACACGTGACTTCCCTGGCTGGCGGCTCCAGGAGGTGAGGAGGATATCGGACCACGTGTCTGTCTCGGGCAGCACTTATCCGGTCCGCCATTGCACAAGGAGCGCTTGAGATCGGGCCCCTTGTATGAGCCCTGGGAGACCCCACGCAGGGATAAATCCGTGCCAGAAGGCAGAGGGCACCACGGCATTACGTTCCCAGGGTGCCCCGGGGAAGCCGGAACCTTGCGTGCCGCACACTTACTTCCATCCTGAGCGTCTGTTGTAGGGGGATCGCAAGCGGGAAGGCACACGTGCTGTCACCAGAGAGAGCAATCCAGTCCCTGCCGCGGGTAAGGTAAGGATACTGAGTAAAGTTTCAGAGGACCTCCTATCCCAAGACACAGTAAACCCCACAGTCCTGCCCAGGCGTCAGCCATAGAAGGTTCCGCGCAGGGAAGGCCCGATCCAGTGCCCTCAGAATTGTACATCTGAGAACTCAAGAATTAATAACATTGGACCAGGGGTTCGGCATCAAGATAGCAGGGAGGATTCTAGCTCCTTTCGGGAGTCAGTGAAGGACCCTGTGGGAGTTTGGCGGCCAGAGCTCCCATCCCCCATAGCAGAGAAAACCGACGGAGCCCTGTGCCTGCCATCAGCCCTAAGAGAGTCCAGGCGCGGGTGGCTGTAAGTGACACACGTGACTTCCCTGGCTGGCGGCTCCAGGAGGTGAGGAGGATATCGGACCACGTGTCTGTCTCGGGCAGCACTTATCCGGTCCGCCATTGCACAAGGAGCGCTTGAGATCGGGCCCCTTGTATGAGCCTTGGGAGACCCCACGCAGGGATAAATCCGTGCCAGAAGGCGGGGGCACCACGGCATTACGTTCCCAGGGTGCCCCGGGGAAGCCGGAACCTTGCGTGCCGCACACTTACTTCCATCCTGAGCGTCTGTTGTAGGGGGATCGCAAGCGGGAAGGCACACGTGCTGTCACCAGAGAGAGCAATCCAGTCCCTGCCGCGGGTAAGGTAAGGATACTGAGTAAGGTTTCAGAGGACCTCCTATCCCAAGACACAGTAAACCCCACAGTCCTGCCCAGGCGTCAGCCATAGAAGGTTCCGCGCAGGGAAGGCCCGATCCAGTGCCCTCAGAATTGTACATCTGAGAACTCAAGAATTAATAACATTAGACCAGGGGTTCGGCATCAAGATAGCAGGGAGGATTCTAGCTCCTTTCGGGAGTCAGTGAAGGACCCTGTGGGAGTTTGGCGGCCAGAGCTCCCATCCTCCATAGCAGAGAAAACCGACGGAGCCCTGTGCCTGCCATCAGCCCTAAGAGAGTCCAGGCGCGGGTGGCTGTAAGTGACACACGTGACTTCCCTGGCTGGCGGCTCCAGGAGGTGAGGAGGATATCGGACCACGTGTCTGTCTCGGGCAGCACTTATCCGGTCCGCCATTGCACAAGGAGCGCTTGAGATCGGGCCTCTTGTATGAGCCTTGGGAGACCCCACGCAGGGATAAATCCGTGCCAGAAGGCAGGGGGCACCACGGCATTGTGCTCTCTGGGTTTTCCGGGGAAGCCGGTGCGGGATGTGTGGCACGCTTATTTCCACCTTAAGTCTCTGTTGTAGGGGAGACTGCAAGTGAGACGGCAGCTATCCAGTCACCGGAGAGAGGAATCCAGTTTCTGCCGCGGGTAAAGTAAGAATACTGAGTAAGTTTGAGAAACGTCCTATCCCAAGAGACAGCTTCACAGTCTTGCTCTGTACTCAACCTTAGAAGGTTCCACGCAGGGGTGGACTGATCCAGTGACCTCAGAATACTCCTTCAAGGAATTCAGGCAGTTAATAGCAGTGGACCAAGAGGTTGTTATCAAGACAGCAGGGAGGATTCCAGGTCATTTTGGGAGTCAGTGAAGGACCATAAGGGAGTTTGGTAGGCAGAGCTCCCCTCCCCCATAGCACTCGAAACGGAAACAGCATGGAGCCCATGACCTCCATCAGCCCTGGGAGATTCCAGGCAGGCGTGGCTGTTAAGTGGCCCACCGGATTTCCCTGGCTGGCAGCTCCAGGAGGTCAGGAGGGTATTTGAGTAGTCCTCTCCTCCAGAACACTCCTCCCATCCCCCACAGCTGAGGCAGCACCAGGGAGCCTGGCCCCTGCCTTCATTGTGGGAGATGCTGGCAGGGGAGGGGGTAGTTGGCTAGAAGTAGCACACCTGACTTCCCTGGGTGGCAGCTTCAAGAGTTGAGGAAGATTTTCACCAAGGTGCCTGCCTCAGCTCAGGCACTGCCAGGAGTCAGTGAATGCCCCGCTTTGCCTTTTGGGGGAAACCGCCTCCCCACCAGAGTGGAGGCCCTACAGAGTCTGGCCCTTGATGTCAGCCCTGGCAGACCCTTGACGTATCAATTAAGACCCATATGCCCCACATTTCACCTTTTGGTGGTGGCAGATGTGTGTGAGGAGATGGGTGCGTAAAAGCCTTGGTGTAAGCCAGACAATTCAGGTTAGCAGAGGGAAAAGTCCTAGGGCAACTTTGAGTTTAGTTCAGAACCTTGAGAAAGGACTGAAGGGATTTCTCCTTCAGGACAAAGGGCGCCCCAGAGATCACACCTCCTACCATAAGCCCTGGTGACCCCACAGCAGAGCTGTCACGGTAAGATGTCCCTCGCTTTATCCTAAGCAGTCACAGGGAGACGAGGATCCAATTAGAGGGAGGTGACTTGGGCCCTTTTAGATGTCAAAGTGAGCACTGAGAGGGGTACACAGAGTCAGGCTCTTCCTCTGTGGGAAGCCCTGGGGAGATAAGCTATTCTGAGTCTACTCCTTCCACCCCCACATATTCCGGAATATTAGGTGGAGAAAACCTTGGTCTGATTGTTACAATCTTCACGTCCGCAGAGGGAGGATACCAGGCAGTCAAGGGAAGGAGCCACAGAAGCGAAGCGAAGTAAGAACTGAAGGGACGACTCACCGCAGGACAAAAGGTATTTCACAGAGCCCTGCGTGTGATCCTATTCCTGGGGGTGAGGGGGCTGCATGGGGGAAATACGTGAAACTGAGGCCTTCCCAGACTTCTCTGCAGACTTTCGTGAATATGAGGGCCTTGCTCCAAGGAGATTAAGTCTAAGATCAACTGAGGGGCCAGTCCGAGGCTGTATAAGAAAACAAGGAGTGGGCTCTGAGTAAGGAGTGAGAACTCTGATTATCCCAGGATGGAGAGGGTCCCACAGAGCCCTACCATTGTCACCCCAGGGTATGCCCCTGGCAGGTGTGCTTAGGTGAGGTTCCACCTCAGTTCCTCACCCAGAATGTCATGGAGGTGAGGGCATTGGAACAAGGGGTGAGCGTCAAAGAAGTTTGATAGCACCTCACATCTTGCCAGAAGTGCAGGTAATGGCTCTGAATGTGAACGGAGAGAAACTTGCTACTCAAGAACAGGGGAGCCTCCACAGGGCCTAGATTTGTCAGATCTTGCATCAGCTCCAGTAAGAGCCAGGTAGGGCTGGAAAGCTACAGCCTCAGGCAAACTCTGGTTACCCCCTCAGAGTCCTCAGGAGAAAGGCAGTTTGGAGAGGAGGAATGGGGCATTGTGAGTTCCTAGAGCAGTGTCCTCAAGTCAGCCTGCAGAGATGGCTGTGGATAAAGCCCCAGGGGCTATCTCCCTGCTAAAGGTATCACACTATTTCTTCTTTCCTCCAGGTCACCTTTCCCACACTCCTGCTTGCTAAACCCGACCAGAGTCGTCATGCCTCGGGGACAGAAGAGTAAGCTTCGTGCCCGTGAGAAGCGCCGCAAGGCCCGGGAACAGTCCACGGATCCAGTGGATGCTCAGGTCACTGTGCCAGGGAAAGAAGAGGGGCCTTCCTCATCTCCTAGATTCAGTGGTGATCCTCGGAGTTCACCTGCAGTTGGAAAACCCAGCAATCCTCAAGCGTCTGGGGGAGTCTGCTCCACCAACACAATTGCTGCTGTCGTTTCAAATGCAAGATTTAATGAAGGTGCCAACAATCAGATGGAGAAAATGCCAAATGTCTTACGTGCCAAGGATATCACTGAGCCCCGGCACAGGAGCAGAAGCCCTCTGAATGAAAAGGTGGTTGTGTTGGTGCACTACCTGCTGTACAAGTATCAAAGGAAGGAGCTTGTTACCAAGGCAGATATGGTGAGAAATGTAATCCAGATGTACAAGCATCACTTCAATGAGATCTTCAGGAGAGCTTCTGAGCACTTGGAGCTGGTCTTTGGCCTTGACATCAAGGAAGTGAATTCCAGCAACAACACCTATGTTCTCATTGACAAACTAGAGCTAAGCTGTGATTCGAGAGAACACAGAGGTGTGCCCAAGACTGGCCTGCTGATGACTATCCTGGGTGTGATCTTCACGAAGGGCAACTGTGCCCCTGAAGAGGAAGTCTGGAAAGTGGTGAATCTAATGGGGCTGCATGTTGGGAAGAGGCACTTCATCTTTGGGGAGCCCAAGAAGCTCATCACAGAAGATTTGGTGAGAGAAAATTACCTGGTGTACCGCCAGGTGTCCGGCAGTGATCCCCCACGCTACGAGTTCCTGTGGGGCCCCAGAGCCCATGCCGAAACCAGCAAGATGAAAGTCCTGGAATTTTTGGCCAAGATTCATGACACCGTCCCCAGTGAGTTCCCACGCTATTATGAAGAGGCTTTGAGAGATGAGGAAGACAGGGCCCTAGCCAGAGCTGTAGCCAGGGCTCGTATTTCTTCCTTGGCCAGGGCACGCTCCATGGCCATGGCCAGCTGCTTCTGCCCCAAGTGAATGCTGAGGAAGATTATTTACCCTGTGTTCGAGGAGAACAGCTAATGTTCTCATTAGTGGAAGGTCAGGGTGGGGCTAGAGATAAGTTTATAACTTGTTTGTATTCCTGTTCTATGGGGTAACTTGGATATTTGTGTAAATGTTGCTCCTTTTTATGCAAGGTTTAACTAACTTCCGAGTCTGAGTTAACAACTGATATATAAGTCACACATGTATTGATGTTTATGAGGTTTAAGAGTATGAGTTTTACTATTTTGGTATGTTGACTATAATTAAAGATAAATTTAACAAAATGAAAAAATTACTAAGTTAATTAAATCCATTTCTCATTTGGGAAAGGATATTATGATTTAGAATTTCCTCAGTAGCTCATGCATTTAATAATTAGCCTAATAAAATTACATTTTAAAACTGCAAAAAAAAATTGCTGTTTTCTAGAACAAATGGGGAAATTTTCTTTAGTTATTTGGAACAGAATAGTAGTATATTGCGTGAACATTTCCTTGGAAATGTGAATGAACTCAGTAGTAAAGTATTTGGGACCAAGGTTACAAAAGTAAAGCAATAGATGATAAATGTTTGCATTCTGTTGTCACTTTTAGTTCTGTAAAATTAAGAGATGTATTCTCGGATGTGCTTAGATAATTCAAAAATGTAGAATTAATTACATCATAATAAATTAGATCTCTTGCACATTCTCATTTATTTCTCAAACGTTCCTTGAGCCTCTGCTCTTTGGGAAGCTCTGTGCTACTTCTGGGGATGTCAGGATCAAAAAGAGCCACTGTGCCCATACAGTGTTCGAGTCTGGGAGCAGCTCTCAAGTCAGGAAGACGGTGAGATACGCCCTAAGACCTAAGAACAAATCTAAAGAAGGAGAGGGGTCATGGAGGGGCTCGATGTGAGCAGTCAAGTGTAAATGTCCTGAGGCAAGGGGGTTCGGGACCTTGGGAAACTGCAAGTCTTTTGGTGTGAGTCAATTTTATGTTAAGGTGGGTGGTGGGCCAGATGGGGAGGCTGTGGGTGTGGTTGGCAGTGGGCAGACCCTCAGAAGTTGTGTCCAGAGTGGAGAGACTAAAACCTGGGAAACTGCTTTGAGCAATTACTTTAAGATCATAAATTAACCAGCAAGAAACTTCCACCTGAGGCAGGAATGGGATGTGCCCTGTTCCTTTGCCCTAGTTCAGGTGAACACAGTCTGCAAAGTAGGTATTTTGTATACATTATGGCCATGGAACCTTTTAGCAATAAGGGTGATAATGCTTTAACATGGGATGCTCAAAAGCCACTGTCCTGGCAGGCTTTTACCTTGGGCCGGAAAAGGCAGAACTCATGATTTACAGGGTATTTGAACTGTTTGAGTATAAATTGGCAAACTGAACATGGGAGATGGGTGGTTCAATGAGAGTGAACCAGTTAGTTTTTTATTCCTTTTACAGAATCCTTTATGCATCCATTCAGAAGTTTCTTCCAATTGCTTATAAACTATCCTCAAAATTTTCCTGAGCAAGTTACTTAATATTCTTAGGAAGATACATCATCACTGAATTGGTGTGGTACATCCTACAGGGCTGTATATTGTCTGACATCTCCAGGATAAAAATAAATTTAAAAATTCCAAGATGGGAAATGGGTGATCTTTGAGGTCAGAATTGGAATAGTAACAACTACTAATTATCGAAGACTGAATACGTATCAGTCACTGGACCAGGTGCCTCATATAAATTATTTACATTCCAGCAGTCCAACTTCACAAGGTACACACGAATCAGGGAGTAAGATGACTGCATCAACCCCATTTCAGATGAAGAACCTGAGACACACATAGCTTTGAAATTTTCATGAGTTCAAATGGCTCCTCAGAGACAAGCCTAGCAATAAAGACCTGGTCTGGTACGTCTAGAACCCACATTGCTCCACTCCTTGCTGCCTAAGGCCAATCTTGTCTTACCAATTCATTTCTCACTGTTCCATGTGTCTCACGCGGTAAGAAGAAAAAGCCTGTGGCTAAAGTGCAAAGAGCAGGCCTAAAGAAGGGAGACAACATGAGAATCAAACACAATTTGGGGATCGTCCGGGGCTTCATTTACCTACGGTCCTCCTGCCCCCCAACACCAGGGCTCCTTGGGAGCTGACTCTGCCCTGGGCCCAGCCCAAGCGTCCAGTCGCGGACTTCCCTGCATCACGGCGCCCCTCTCCTCTCCCTGGGTGGTCCCCGGTGTGCCTGCTGTGTGGACTGGAACCTGTCCTGCCCGCCAGCTGTCCTCTGCTTCCTCCTCTGCAGGCCGCACCTGCTCCCCGTGGGACACACAGCCCACAACCCCTGCCCTCCGGACCTAGAGCATCCCACCTCCCTGCGGACCCGGGCCTTCCCTGGGGGCCCCTCTGACAGCAGCCGCTGCTATGCGATGACTCACTTGGGGCAGTGACCTTTGGACACCCCCTCCTCCCACATGGCTGCCTCTACCAAACTCTTAAAATTTGTTTTTGTCAAATCTGCTGACAAGTAGGCTGATTTGGCAGGAAACCTGCAGGGCCTTGGTTTATAACCATGCACCAGAGAGGGCATTTTAAAACATTGCAATAGAATTAAAAACTTTTTTTTTACTTTTATTTTTTTCAATTACAGCTTACATTCAGGTGTACAGCATAGTGGTTAGACAATCATACAGTTTCCAAAATGTTCCTGCTGATCTTTCCAGTCCTGGAACTATACATAGTTATTACAATATTATTGACTATATTCCCTGCTATAGGATTTTAATGGACTGCCCTAATGGATTGAAACAGCATTAAATACATACTCTGATGAGTGGGCTTAACTAAGTGGCCAAGAGCCAAAGCCTTGGTCCTAAGAGGTAGATGGGGAAGTCCCGAGGAATCCACTGGGTAGCAAACATCAGCAGGGGCTGGATTCTCACAGACCCCGTAGGCTTCTCAGACAGTTATAGTACTTTTCTATGGCTGCTGTAACAAATTACCACAAATTCAGCGGTTTACAACAGCACATATAATCTCAGTAGGTGTTATTACCTGCTGTTCTGTAGGGATAAAGGCTGGAATGGCTCTGCTGGATTCTGTGCTTGGATTTTCACAGGCCCAAGCCTGCGGGCCTCTCTGATCAGAAGCTCTGGGAAGAATCTCCTTCCCAGGCCATTCAGGTCGGTGGCAGGATCCGTCCTTTGCGGTAGTAGGACGCAGGCCCTGTTTCCTTGCTGACTGTGAGCTGCGGCTGACATTGTTTCTCCTGGCCTCTCTCCAGTCCTTGCTTCAGGCCCATACGTTTTGACCAGCAATTAAATGTCGAAGCCTTCTCACACGTGGGATCTCTCTAGCTTTCCCCTCTGTTGCGTCTCTCTTCTGCCTCCAGCCAGAGAAGGTTCTCTGCTTGGAAGGGCTCATGTCATTACATCGGACCCACCCAGATAATCCAACGTCGACTGTAAAGTCGGTTTCATACCCTTATTACATCTACACAGTGCCTTTGGCTGAGCAACGTGACATATTGACAGGTTTCAGGGAAAATGTATGGGCATCTTCGTGGAGCAATTATGCAGTCTACCACCAAGGTAGTAAATGTCTCCCTGGCAGACAAGCCAGCTTTGATAAGAAAAATAGTAATAATTTACCATCTTTCTCCTGACTCTTGCCTGTGTCTGCCCCAGGGGAAAATCCAGCCCTTCCGGTGTGTCTAAAGGCGCCTGTACACGTGTTCAGGCAGGTTCTTCAGGTGGTGGGTAGCAGAGACTCACGAGTTGTGACTTTCACCTTGCAGAGAGGAAGAAGAGCGTTCTCAGTGTACTGGGACTCGGGAGGTCGCGGACAAGGTCCGTGCAGAAAGGTGCTTAGAGTGAAGAGGGGTGACGCCTCCACGCTGAGACTCCCAGTGACCTCAGAGAAAACTGGTGTGATCCTGTATTTCAAAATGCTGGTCACATATAGGCACTGGACACATTTGCAGTGTTGCAGGGCAGTTTGATCCTTCTCAGAAACTTCTCCAAGGATGCAGAGGACTTTTGTAAACAGATGGTAAGTTCTGCATTTTACAGAGCACCTACTCTGCGGCTTGCGAGGGAGACTGCAAGTGTCCACCCAAGCTGTGCCATGTTCTTCTTCCCGGGCACGTGGGGATACTATGGTGTTCAGCCCAGGAGCATTAGAAAGGTTTCTGGGACAACCTTTGCCACTGAGATGTGAACAGAAGCGAAACGTAGTTTTTCCAGACCAAGGCACTAGAAGGTCAGTGTGCCACTTCTTGCTTTCTGCTCAGTGCCGCCGCCAACGCTGAGATCCTGCGTTAAGATTGGAGTCAAAGGATGGGAGCCCCCTCCATCCCTGGGCCACCCGACAGCAGAGACCCCACCTGCCATGCCAGAGTTCATGTGCACGAAAAGCAGCTTTCGTAGAGTTAGGTCATTCGGGTTTCCGATGCTTCCATTACAATCACTAGCCATTACTTGCCTGAATGACGCACAGCTTTTCTTTCTGTTATCAGTTGTACCTAGATAAACTAATTAATATCGAAATAGTGCATATGTTGTTAATGCTAAAAAAGTCTAAAAATATGAAATCACACTCCTGCCTCCCTTCTATGGTCCTATAAAATCAGGCCTTATTAGAAATAAGCACAAATAAAAACCTTGTGTGTATAATTTTCACACTTATTCTAGACTTTTCCTTAAATATATGTGCTAGAAGAATACACTGTTGATAACTTCCTTTCAAAATCTCTCCAGTGAGCACTGAGACAAACTCCTGAGGATCACAATAGTGTGAGGACCCTATTCTCACGCCAGCTTACCATACATTTTTATCTTCTATTGTTTCTGCACTGTACCTCACTTGTGAATAATGGGTTTTATGACTCCTACCCAATCAGAAGTTGTTGAGGGTTCATGTTGGCATCTCTCTGCTCTCCTCCATATCCACTCCCCCCCGACACATTACATATGCATGTTTTCAACAGATATGAACTGAGGTGTTGAAGGAGTAAGGTGTAGGGTCAGACGGTAGAGAAGGAATGCTCGGTTGAGAGGCCAAAACAAAGCTTTACTCACTGTAGAATGTGAACCACAGTGGTGGACCCGAGAAGTATGAGACTTACAGCATTAAACATAGACATCTTCCTGTGATATAATCATTGAAATAAATTCATGTACAGAGGTGGGTGAAAGTAGGTTTACAGTTGTCAGTATGTGAAACTTAGAGTTAATAAAGCTATTCCAATAATCATAATTTGCATGTCATTTTCCATATGAACAACTGTAGACCTGCTTTTGCCCACCCCTGTATTGAGTGCTTACTAGATGCCACAACCTTTTCTCTGACTTATCTTTTTTTAATCCTTTTCTGATGTCCTGCTAAGTAAGGACAGTCATTATCCCTATTTTTTCAGATGAGAAAATTGAGACACAGAGAACTTGTTCAATGTGGAAAGGGAGAATTTAAAAAATGAAACAAAAAGGGGGGGAGGGGAAGACACTGTGAGTTTTTAAGATACACGTGTAACAATGTACATCATGTTCTGCCTCTTGCCCTTGTTGCTGAATAAAATGAATGCAGGATCTTTCTGTGAGAAATGGATCCACCTCACTCTTTTAAGTACTTGCTAGAATACTAAGGTGGATGTGCCATGAATAATGTACCCATTCTCTTCTTGATGGACACGTAAGCTGTTCCTCATTTCTTGCTACGTTTAACAGAACGGATATCAACATCACTGAAAATGGCTGCTACACAAATGTGAATGTTTTCTTATAGGAAAGAGATTTAAAAAATGTGCAAATTGGATTAAAGTAGAAATAGTTTGGTGATTGTCAATATTTTGAATATTTCTGAAATTGTATTCCTACAATGCTTCCCCAATTTGTATTCTCACAAATTAATTTATGTGAATATCCAACATTCTCACAGGTATTTAATTTTATCAATTTTAAATTCGGGGCAACATTTTTGCTGCAATTATATTGTCTCAACTTTAATTTGTATTTCCCTGTTTTGTAATCAACTTGAGCAGAAAATTAACATACTCTCTCACTCATATGAAACAGGATTTCTCATTGATGTCTTGATTACCAGGATACCTCTGGGCACATGCTTTAAGAATTCTGATAGGTATTTAAATGTTTCCCTTTAACTTGAGAAGGAAGGTTTTGTCAGAATGACCAGGTGCCAGAGAATGAGCCTGGGCAGGAAAACATCAGTGACTGAGGAACACCAGGAGGATGGCAGTGGGTTGGGGGGGGTGAGGAGGAGAGCAATTTCTAGAGAGACCATGTATTTAGGACAAGTTCAGAGAGCCCAGGACAGCTGGCAGTCAGGGATCTGTATGCAGACTTCATCAAAAGGCAAAAAAAGATACCAGAAGGAGAGAAGGTGGAGAATCTGGCGGAGGGTAACAGACAACTTACATGGATAAGCTAGGGAATCTCTGAATCATCATCACGAGTGTCAAGTTGTAAAGTGATCTGCGTGGGAAAATTTATTCGATGATAGGACCAGAGGCAGGCCTGATACTCCCTACCTTAGAATGCCCCCCTGCCTACTGTCATGCGGAGGATAACTCGCTCCCTTGCGTCACCCACCAAGTGATGTTATTTATGAAATCTGGGAGCGCTACACCTCTTCATTACTCTGGGGGTTCCGTGCATCCTTGCTAGTGTAGCACGGCTGAGAGCTGTCTTGATGCCAAGCAGAGAGGCCTATTTTTCCTCTTGTCTCTGTGGTACTCCTGCCGCTGGGGTTGAGGCTGTGCAAGAGGGCGGGATTGATTGTTGATTCAGGAGAGTTAAAATAGGGCAAGTATTACCAATGAGTAGTGGATGGGGGTGTGCAGCTGCACGCTGCATGGAGGGGAGAATTGGAGGGGGAAATCCCTAAAGCTAATTACCCCGGCGACTGTGGGAATAAAGGGTTGAATGTGGACATGCCTTGAAGAACAGTTCAGGTGTTATTCCCACTCAGATTGCCTCCCATGGTTCCTGACTTCTTTGTATAGCAGAGGGCAGGTGTACCGTGTATTCGGTGGTCTGTGTTGCTGCCAGATACTGACTGGAGTAAGGGGCTGGCCTACAGTGCAAACATTTGCAGGGTGAATGGAGAACCGTTGTGGTCAGTGTAGTTCCTTGTTAAATTGCCTGGAGGGGAGGGAGTAATAGATCTAAGTGGAGTCCAAAGCCCTATCTTTTTTATTGTAAAACTCCAACTTGATTGAATTAAAAATTAAAAAATAGATTCTGTGCTACACATTCGCAAAGTCATCTTTGAAGCTCTTGATTAAGTCTGAGGGATCCCCATCCCGGAAGACAGTGAACCTCACAGAGTCTGGCTCGTGCTTTCAGTTCTGGTAGGCTTTATGTAGCAAGCAATTGCCTGCCATAATGGCCTCTGAATTTCCCCTCTGAAGAGCCAGGACTGAAAGCTTTGGACCTGGGTGTTAGCCTCGGGACCACAGAAAATGGGATCCCAGGCATTAACATGAGTAAAGGACTGTGTGTGAATTCCAAGGGAACTACCCACCTCAGAACAGATGGACAGCACAGTGACCTGCCCCTGCTATAAGTTCTGGGAGGCTCTGGTGTGGCTGTGAGGCTCATATGCCCCTTCACTTTACCCCCTGGAAACTGGAGAGTAACATGGGGAGGGCCTTGGTTTAATGCTAGTCAGTCAAGGAGGGGAAACCTAGGACCAGCCTGAATAGGCCAGAAGCCCCTATGTGAGTTCCAAGGGAATTCTCCACCCCCAGACCAAAGCTGACCCCGTAGAACCCTGTGCATGTGTCAGCCCTGGCAAAATCCAGGCAAAGGTGGCTGGAAGTGGTGCACTCTGATATTAGACTTGGGTCTCGGGAAAGCAAAAAGTATTGGTCTGAGAGGAGTGGTGTGAAGTACAGTGAGGGAGGAGCTCTGGTCTCTGCCTGGAACTAAGGTGAAGATTTTGAGTTAGGTGTAAGGGAACTGTCCACCCCAGCCATGAGAGGCCCCCAGAGCATCAGGAGCCTGCTCTCGGCGCGGGGCGTCGGGGGGGAGGGTGAAAGGGGGTGGGGGCTCGCAGTGCCAGAACCTTGCTGTCCACCTTGGGAGGCACCAAGTGGTGGTTTAAGGATGTAACGCACCCCAACTTCTGTTCCTGGTCACTGAGCGAAGCCACAGCCTTTTCGTGAGGGAGAGAGCGTCACATCAGGAGATGGAGGAGCTCCAGGCCCTACTTTGAATAAGGTAAAGACCGTGATTTAGATTAGAGTGGTTTCCTGAGAGTTCCACCCTGCTATCAGCCCCAATAGTATCCAGACCGTAATTGCATGACATGGCAACCTTCGAGAATGTTCTAAATGTCCCTCGAGGGGACTGACAAGGGTGAGGGCATCAGACTGGGGCGTCAGCTTCACACCAGCAGAGCGACAGGTCCCAGGCTCTAATGAGTGTAAGGCAAGAATCCTGAGTGAGGTTTGAGGGAACTGCTACCACAGCGGAAGGGGCCCCGCGGAGCCCCATCCATATTTTCCATTGAGAGGCCGCAGCTTAGGTTAGATTGATGTAAGCCACCTGGGTTTATGTTTCTGGTGTCTCAGTGGCAGTGAATACCTTTGAATGGGAGGAGGATGGCGTCAGGCCAGAATACTTATCACAGCCAGGAAACTGAGTGAGGTCTCAGGGAAATGCCCACTCCCAACAAAAGTGACCTCACAAAATCCCACCACTGCTGTGAGCTCTGGGAGGCCTTGGTTAAGGGTATGAGGCTGAGCCACCCTTTCACATTGTCCTTGGGCAGTCTCAGGAAGATGAGGTCTGGTCTAAGAGGGCACTCATTGTCATTAAAGGGAGGGAACCCAAACATTTCCAGTACTCAATGTGAAGACCCTGAGTGAGGACAGAAGGGATCACCCATCTCAGAACAGTGGGGGTCACAGAGAGTCCTATCCAAGCCATCAGTCTCGAGGACACCTCTGAGCCGGTGAGAAATGCAGCTAGGGCAAGTGTGTTAGACTGAGGCCTTCTTTACTTTCTTCTCTAGACATTCATGGATTTGAGGGACTTGCTCGAAGGACATGGATCTTAAATCAGCAGAGGGCCCTACTCAAAGTAAAAGTGAGAGCACTGAGTGACAACTGAGCCCCTTATACACATCAGGACAGAGAGGGTTCCACAGAACTCTGCGTGTACTTTCTTCCCTGCGCATTGCTGGGCAGGTGTGATAAGATGAAGTTCCTCCTGTGGGGTCTCAGAGAGATGAGAGCCTTGAAATGAGGGGTCAGCATCAGAACAATAGAGCACAGGGACCTTAGGCCCTGCCAAAAGTGAAGGGATGGCCCTTCATGTGAACTTAAATGTTCCCTAAGTCAGAACAGAGCCACTGCTCTAAGTACCAGTGAGCCCCAAGCAGAGCTGGTAGGCAGGAGCTGAGGTGCACCCTGGTAATGTCCATGGGTCCTCAGGGTAGTGGCGAGTCTGTGGGTTCCTAGAGCAGTGCCCTCATGGAGTCCTGCAGTGGTGGGTGTCAATATAGCCAAGGTTTTATCTCCCTGTTGAAGTGGCCCCCCAAATCTCATTCTCTCTCCTTCAGGTCACTGAGTCACCTGCCCATTAGCCTGCTGCCCTTGTTGAGAGTCATCATGCCTCAAGGGCAGAAGTGTAAGGCCTGCGCCCATGAGAAACGCTGCCAGACCCAACAAGAGCCCAAGGATCTTGTAGGTGCTCGGGACACAACAGGATCGAATGAAGGTACCAACTACCAGACGGAAGAAAGTCCAAGATCCCCCCAGGCCTGGCCCGCCATGGACCCCTTCCACAGAGGCCATCTAAATGAGAAGGTGCTTCGCTTAGTGTATTATCTGCTGTACAAGTATCAAATCAAAGAGCCTGTGACCAAGGGAGAAATGGTGAGAAATGTAATCCAAATGTACAGAAATCATTTCCTTGAGATCCTCAAGAGAGCCTCTGATCACCTGGATATGGTCTTTGGCCTCGACATGAAAGAAATGGATCCCTACCGGCATGTATATATCCTTGTCAACAAACGAGCCAGGCCGCGATACAGTGCTGAGTAATGACAGAGGTGTGCCCAAGACCGGCCTGCTGATGACTATCCTGGGTGTGATCTACATGAATTGCTATCGCGCCACTGAGGCGCATGTCTGGAAAACATTGAATGTGATGGGGCTCTATCGGGGGAGGAAGCACTTCCTGTCTGGGGAGCCCAAGAAGCTCATCACAGAAGACTTGGTGGAAGAAAATTACCTGGTGTACCACCAAGTGCCCGGCAGTGATCCTCCACGCCATGAGTTCCTGTGGGGCCCCAGAGTCTACAATGAAACTACCAAGATGAAAGTCCTGGAGTTTTTGGCCAAAGTCCATGATACCATCCCCACTACCTTACCATTCCTTTATGAAGAGGCTTTGAAAGATGAGGAAGACAGAGCCCAGGCCCGAGCTTCAGCCAGGGCTCATAATGCTGCCATGGCCAGGGACATTTATTGCTGTGAGATTTAAGAGTAAGAGCTTCAGTATTTTGTAAAACAAATTGGAAAAAAATTCACCTTATTTAGTGATATGGAGCAAGACAATAGGGCAGTAGATGAGGCCATTCCTTGGAAATGTGAAACAACTCAGCAGTGTAATAGGTGGAGTCAGGAAATGGAGAAATAAATCAAAGATAATAAATTTTGGTTTCATTTATAACTTTTAGCCTGTTGTTGTTGTGTGTGTGTGTGTGTGTGTGTGTGTGTGTGTGTGTATGAATCCATGTAGCTTATTCAAGAATGTAGGAGAAATTAGATTGTAATAAGTTAGAGCTCTTTCTTAGTGGGCCATGTTTTCCTCCCAAAATAATTGAGCATCTACTCTTTGCAAAGTCTGTGTTAGTACTGAGAATGCGAAGGTGTATAAGACCCATCCCTGCCAGTAGAATTGTAAACTCTTGGAGTAGCTGTGATGTGAGGAGTATTTAAGACACTCCCTGTGCCCCAAAAAACAAGTCAAAAGGTGGTGTGAGGACTTGGGGCTTTTAGGCGTGAACAGTCAAATGTAAAGGCCTGGACAAGGGCGTTTGCGGCCTTGGGAAACTGCGAGTCCTTCGGTGTGAAGTAGTTTTACTTAAGCTGGGTGGTGGGTCAGATGAGTTTGTTTGAGTGGTGGGCAGGGGCCGAAAGCTCTGAAAATGTGTCTCAGGTGGAGAGGCCGAAGCCTGGAATGGAAAACTGCTTCTTGTGCCGACTTTAAGGTCATAAATAAAGCAGAGACAAATCTTCACCTGGGACAGAAATGGAAGAGGTCCTGCACTCTTGTCCCAGTGCTGGAGAACAAAGTCCACAAACTAGATGATTTGTGTACATCTGACTGTCTGAGAAATAGGGTGACGCGGAGATGGGATGCTCAGAAGCCACTGTGATGGCACTCTTTGCCCTGGGCTGGGAGAGGCATAGCCCATCTGTTCCAGCATTTGTACTTACAAGGTATATATGAGCCAGGAGCAAGGGGACTACTTACCAAACAATTTCACAGATGAAAATCTGAGGTTCCTAGAACTTTGCAATCTTCCCGAGTTCACCAGGCTTGTAAGTGACACAGTTGGGACTAGAGCCCTGATCAGAATTTGTCTTCACTCCCACACTGTTCCACTCCTCCCTGCCTGAGGCCGAACATTTCTTAATTCATTTCTCTTCTTACTACTCCACAATATCTCACAGGAGATACGAAGAAGGAACCTGCAGCCAATGCACTAAAACCACATGTATTAATAAGGTGTAAAGAGAATGAAACACCACATGGGAGCTCTCTATGGGCTGCTTTTACTTAAGGCCCTCCTGCCCCTTTATCCACAAGGTTGTTTTAGAGCTGGCTATGCCCAGTGCTAGGACCACCTGACACTTTCTGAATTACATCTCTCTTCTCCTAGGTCTTCCCCAATATGCCCTCATGTCCAAATATGGATCCTAACCTGCTGTCCAGCTCTCCCCTGTTTCCTTCCATAAGTCTGCGCTCTGCTCCCAGTGGAACAGAAAGCCCAGAATCACCTGCCTTTCCCTTGACTTAGAGCCCTGCAGCTCCCTCAGATGCCTGCTGCCTGTCCTGTCCCTGACCTTGGAACGCCTCTGATAACAACAGCCCTGTTCATATGGTTATTTACTCTGGCAGTGAAGTTTAGATGTTTGCTCATCTTCTCTGGGTGCTTCTAACGCACTTCCAAAGATTTTTTTTTCCCAATTGGCCTGTGAGTAGAGTCTGATTTGACACAGGATCTACTGGTTCTTGAAAGATAACCCTGAAGTTAGTAAGGGGTTTCAGAAAGCAGATGATGTTAGAAACAAGATTTAATCTGGTGACTTCTTTGAGACTGGCCATTGAATCTGTGCACTGATGAGTGACTTAACTAAGTGGCCAAAAACCAAAGCCTTGCTCCTAAGTGGTAGATGGGGAAGGCCCGAGGAATCCACTGTGTAGCAAACATCAACAGAGGCTGGATTCTACCAGACCTTGTAGTCCTTCCGGGAGGTTGTACTAGTATTCCAAAGTTACCACAACAAATTAGTACAACTTGAGCAGTTTACAACAACCCACATGCATTATTTCACATGTCTGTGGGTGACAAATCCAAGTTTCTTCTGCTGATTTTTGAGTTCTGGGTTTCACAAGGCCCACATAAAACTTTTAGATGTCAGGTCTCTCTGATCAGAAGCTCTGGGAAGAATCTCCTTCCCAGGCCATTCAGGTCGGTGGCAGGATCCGTCCTTTGCGGTAGTAGGACTCGGGCCCGGTTTCCTTGCTGACTGTGAGCTGCGGCTGACATCGTTTCTCCTGGCCTCTCTCCAGTCCTTGCTTCAGGCCCATACGTTTTGACCAGCAATTAAATGTCGAAGCCTTCTCACACGTGGGATCTCTCTAGCTTTCCCCTCTGCTGCGTCTCTCTTCTGCCTCCAGCCAGAGAAGGTTCTCTGCTTGGAAGGGTTCATGTCATTACATCGGACCCACCCAGATAATCCAACGTCGACTGTAAAGTCGGTTTCATACCCTTATTACATCTACACAGTGCCTTTGGCTGAGCAACGTGACATATTGATAGGTTTCAGGGAAAATGTATGGGCATCTTCGTGGAGCAATTATGCAGTCTACCACCAAGGTAGTAAATGTCTCCCTGGCAGACAAGCCAGCTTTGATAAGAAAAATAGTAATAATTTACCATCTTTCTCCTGACTCTTGCCTGTGTCTGCCCCAGGGGAAAATCCAGCCCTTCCGGTGTGTCTAAAGGCGCCTGTACACGTGTTCAGGCAGGTTCTTCAGGTGGTGGGTAGCAGAGACTCACGAGTTGTGACTTTCACCTTGCAGAGAGGAAGAAGAGCGTTCTCAGTGTACTGGGACTCGGGAGGTCGCGGACAAGGTCCGTGCAGAAAGGTGCTTAGAGTGAAGAGGGGTGACGCCTCCACGCTGAGACTCCCAGTGACCTCAGAGAAAACTGGTGTGATCCCGTATTTCAAAATGCTGGTCACATATAGGCACTGGACACATTTGCAGTGTTGCAGGGCAGTTTGATCCTTCTCAGAAACTTCTCCAAGGATGCAGAGGACTTTTGTAAACAGATGGTAAGTTCTGCATTTTACAGAGCACCTACTCTGCGGCTTGCGAGGGAGACTGCAGGTGTCCACCCAAGCTGTGCCATGTTCTTCTTCCCGGGCACGTGGGGATACTATGGTGTTCAGCCCAGGAGCATTAGAAAGGTTTCTGGGACAACCTTTGCCACTGAGATGTGAACAGAAGCGAAACGTAGCTTTTCCAGACCAAGGCACTTTTCCAGACCAAGAGGGTCAGTGTGCCACTTCTTGCTTTCTGCTCAGTGCCGCCGCCAATGCTGAGATCCTGCGTTAAGATTGGAGTCAAAGGATGGGAGCCCCCTCCATCCCTGGGCCACCCGACAGCAGAGACCCCGCCTGCCATGCCAGAGTTCATGTGCACGAAAAGCAGCTTTTGTAGAGTTAGGTCATTCGGGTTTCCGACGCTTCCATTACAATCACTAGCCGTTACTTGTCTGAATGACGCACAGCTTTTCTTTCTGTTATCAGCTGTACCTAGATAAACTAATTACAACCGAAATAGTGCATACGATCTTGATGCTAAAAAATTCTAAAAATACTTATAAATCGCTAGTCTAATTCTTTATCCTTTAAAATTCAGCCCTTATTAGAAATAACCATAATATTAAATGTTAAAAGTAAGTAAATATTATTAATATTAAATAATACTAAATAATAGAAGGAATCATAGTAATAAAATGTATATATTAAATGAAAAATTGCTCTGGGTTTTTTCTTATATAGATACACTAGAAAAATGCAATGTGAGTCATTTTAATGTCCATGGAAGGTGGTGTACATATTGTTTTGCCACTTACCCTGTCATTTAATGAGGTAAATGTACCTCAGAGCACATGTGGTTCCTTCTCACTCTTTTAATTACTCCCAAGTATTCTAAAGTCTATTTGCCATAAATAATTTAACCATTCTCCTCCTGATGGACACATAAGTCGTTTTCCATTTTTTGCTATAACTAATAGGACTTATATCAACATCATGAAATATAAATTATTGGGCAAATGTGGCTGTTTTCTTATTGTAACAACATAGAAGTGAACATTGGGTTAAAGTGAAAATAGCATGATGATCATAAATGTTTAAAATGTTGCTGATATTTTGTTTTCATAATGCTGAACCAATTTATAGTCTCACATGTTAGTATATGAGAATATCCAAAAGATTCACAGGTGTTTTATTTGATCAATTTTAAGTGTCCGTCAATATTTCATGTGAAAATACCTTTTTTTAAAATTTTGTATTTACATGATTTTAAATTATATTATTGAAAAATTAATTCTTCATTAATTTTTCATCTATACAAAATGGGATTTTTGCAAGATATCTTGAATACTGGGGTAACTCTGGGTTGGTGTTTTAAAATTCAATGTCAATATGAATTTTTCCATTTGCGTTAAGAGGCAGGATTTGGTCAGAATGACTAGGTCCCATGGCACTGTCTAGACAGGACACCTCAGTTACTGAGAAACATCAGGAGGCCTGGGGAATATAGAAATTTCCAGAGCCTGTGAGAGAGACCACACAGTAAACCAAGCCCTGATAGCCCAGGGCAGGCTGGAAGCCAGGGTTCTGAATTTAAAGCTCAGCATACAATAGAAAAGGGAGCAAAAGAAGAGAGCCTGTGGAATCTTGGAGGGTCCTGGGTACCTTCTAGGAAAAGGCTTGGAGAATCTATGAATCATTATCATCAGCCTAAAGTTGCAGAGCAATATGAATGGGCATATCTACTGGATGAAAGGACCAGCGGTATGTCTGATACCCCTTCCTACCTTAGAATCCCCCCTGCCTAATATCGGGCAGTTGAGAGGGGGCTTCCCTATGTCACTCACCAAGTGATGTTACTGATGGAATTAGGGAGAGCTACATCGCTTCAGTACTCTGGGAGTTCCATGTGTTCTTGCCAATGTA